CCAGGTCTGGGGCGGGCGGGACCGCACGAGGACTCCTCCTGGGCCTCGGATCCCGCTTCTGGGAGATGGCACATCCCTGCGGGCGCAAGTTGTGAGGCACTAGTAAGAGCAGAGTTGTGCAGTGTGACCAGTTATTTTGCACCAACCTCTGAATTGAATCCCAGATTAATTGTCTCATGGATTCTTTTTTAATATATTTTTTTTTGATTTCAGAGAGGAAGGCAGAGGGAGAGGGAGAGATGGAAACACCAATGATGAGAGAGAATCATTGATCGGCTTCCTTCTGCACGCCCCCTACTGGGGATCGAGGCCACAACCTGGGCATGTGCCCTTGACCTGAATGGAACCCAGGACCCTTCAGTCCGCAGGCCTACGTTCTGTCCACAGAGCCAAACCGGCTCCAGTGGTCAGCAAACTCAATAGTCAACAGAGCCACATATCAACAGTACTTCAAAATAGACTCGCCCAGGTCGAAAACCGGGGCCACCAAGTGTCAATCGCACTGTATGTGGGCACCCACATGTGGTATTTTGTGGAAGAGCCACAGTCAAGGGGCCAAAAAGCCGCATGTGGCTCGCGAGGCGCAGTTTGCTGACCACGGGCTAGGGCTGTCTCATAGATTCTTCACATCAGCCCGGCGAAGGCTGGGTTCTCTGGGAGGTCCGTGTTACAGATGAGGACTGAGGCTCAGGGTTATTGTGACTGGCCTGGTTCCGGTCACACAGGGAGCAGAATGTGTAACAAGACTCGATTCCAGGTTTGCCTGACTCCAGAGCCTGGGCCTCCAGCCACCAGATGGTGATGCCTCTCTGAATTCTTGAACAGCTGCCAAGTGCCAGGCACCGTGTGACATTGTGTCCCTCTCCTGCAGGTACCAGGATTTCCACGCATTCGACCTCCCAGGAGCCACTCGAGTCCTTGAATGGATTGGTGACAAAGGTGAGGAGATGGAATCCCACTCAGGCTGGGACTCCAGAGCTCAGCCCAGAGGGATCCAGCCCACTTATCTGAGGGCCCCTTGAGCAATTTTGTGCTCCATCAGCGCTTACGAAGTTCTAGATCTCTTCCATCCCCCAGTACAAGCCTGAGTATCAATGGGTTTGGCGGAGTTTCTAGAGCCAGCCATGGTCCGCAGTCTTTCTAGCAGTTTGTCACAGCTACTTCTGCTTCTTTTTTCCAGGAGTTTTTGTTGCTGGCTATGAAAAGTTGAAAAAAAATGAAATTCTTCACCTGACATTACCCCCCCGACTTTCTGTAAATGAAAACCAGGTAATTTGAAATATAAATGCTGAGTATATGTGTCTACTTTTAGTCATTTATTAAACCTCTATGGAGCTCCTGTTGTCTACTAGCTATTGTCCTGGATTCTAGAAAGAGAGCGAGAGAGAGAGAGACCCTGGGCCTGCCCTTCTAGTCTAATAGAGGGAGGCAAATATGCACATGGATAAGCACTAAGGAACCTCCTGTGATTACAGAGAGTTACGAGAGGAAGAAGTCCATTGTAGTTTATCAGAATTAGATACCTGGGGCCATTAGGGAATAGAGCAGTGGTTCTCAACCTTCCTAATGCCGCGACCCTTTCATACAGCTCCTCATGTTGTGGTGACCCCCAACCATAACATTATTTTCTTTTCTTTTTTTTAAATATATTTTATTGAGTTTTTACAGAGAGGAAGGGAGAGAGATAGAGAGCTAAAAACATCGATGAGAGAGAAACATCGATCAGCTGCCTCCTGCACATCTCCTACTGGGTATGTGCCCGCAACTCAGGTACATGCCCTTGACCGGAATCGAACCTGGGACCTTTCAGTCCGCAGGCCGACACTCTATCCACTGAGCCAAACCGGTTTCGGCCATAACATTATTTTCATTGCTACTTCATAACTGTCATTTTGCTACTGTTATGAATCGTAATGTAAATATCTGACATGCAGGATGTATTTTCATTGTTACAAATTGAACATAATTAAAGCATAGTGATTAATCACAAAAGCAATATGTAATTATATATATGTTTTCCGATGGCCTTAGGCGACCCATGTGAAAGGGTCGTTCGACCCCCAAAGGGTCGCGACCCACAGGTTGAGAACCGCTGGTATAGAGGGTGGATGAAACCCTAGAATGGTTAAGAATGAATGTGTGTAATGTATCCTATACAATCAAAGGCTAATATGCAAATCGACCGAACAGCTGAACAGCTGGTTGCTATGACACACACTGACCACCAGGGGGAAGACGCTCAATGCAGGAGCTGCCCCAGGTGGTCAGTGTGCTCCCACAGGGAGCGCACTGCTCAGCCAGAAGCTGGGCTCATGGCTGGTGAGCGCAGTTGTGGCGGGAGCCTCTCCACCTCCAACAGCGCTAAGGATGTGAGACATCCCTCGAGGGCTCCCGGACTGTGAGAGGGCACAGGCCAGGCTGAGGGACCCCCACTCTGAGTGCACGAATTTTATGCACCAGGCCTTTAGTAAGAAATAAGAGGGGAAGGTGGCTAAAGACAGAACTTCAGAGGATACATTTAAGGAATGGGCAGAGGAAAATGAACTCACAAGGAATACAGTGGGGCCTTGACTTATGAGTGTTCCGACTAACGATTTTTTTGAGATACCAGCTGTCTCTCGGCCGATTTTTTGCATTGAGTTGATAGAGTAATTTGAGTTAACAAGCTCCTTAACAAGCTCGGTCTCGAAACGAATTAAACTCTTAAGTCAAGGCCCCACTGTACTAGGAAGGAATAATCTGTAAAGTAGGCAGAGTCTCAGAAAAGGTCAGTGTCTCAAGCCAAGAGAAGAGGATATGACAAAAGAAAAGAGTTGGTAGCCGCCTGGTGTTGCCCTGGGGGAGATTTCTGACCTAGTGCTCTTGATCTCCCCACCCCACCACTCAGGTTTGAGCCAGGAGCTCCCCAGACTGGGCCTTTATGAGAGACCTGATTTACCTCCCACCTCACCCCTGGGTTTTCCTCTTGTGCCACTTCCTTTTTCCCTGCCCCCAGTTCCTCACATGGAGATAGTCGTCCAGTGGCTAAGAGCACGGACTGGTAGACAGGCTTGGGTCCAAATTCACAACATAATCCCCTCTGTGATCTTCAAAAATTGTTTAAATTCCCCAGGCCTTACTTTTGACATTTTATTTTTTTTAAAGGATAGTGTTTGTTGTTGTTTTATTTTATTTATTTTTTATTGATTTCAGAGAGAGGAAGGGAAAGGGAGAGAGAGGTAGAATCATCAATGATGAGAGAGAATCGTTGATTGGCTACCTGGGAATTGAACCCAGAACCCAGGCATGCGCCCTGAACCAGAATTGAATCCGGGACCCTTCAGCCCTCAGGCTGATGCTCTAGCCATTGGGCCACACCGGCTAGGGCTATTTTTGACATTTTAGAGTAGGGTTAATTATAGTACCTACTTCTAGAATTCAATGTGATAAAGTATGTAAAGCACTAAACACAGTGCCTGGTACGGTAAATGCTGGATAATTGGTAGTTGTTATATTTTTATTACTAGAAGAACCCACTTGATTTCCAATGGAAGGTGGCATGAGAAATGAAGATATGTTAGTTGGCTGATACCTTCCACCTTTTTTAAAAAATTAATTTTAGCCGAGCTAGCATACGGTCAGGGCATATGCCCAGTTGCAGACTTGATCCCCAGTGTGGGGTGTGTATGAAGCATCTAATCAGTGATTCTCTCTCATCATTGATGTTTCTATCTTTCTCTCCCTCTCCCTTCTCTGAAATCGATAAAAATATATTTTTTTAAAAATTTAATTTTAGAGAGGAAGGGAGAGAGAGGAACATCGATTTGTTGTTTCACTTGTTGATACACTCATTGGTTGACTTTTTTTTTAATGTATTTTTATTGATTTCAGAGAGGAAGGGAAAGGGAGAGAGAGAGAAACATCAATGATGAGAGAGAATCATGGATCGGCTGCCTCCTGCCCCACACTGGGGACCGAGCCCACAACCCAGGCATGTGCCCTTGACCAGAATCGAACCCGGGACCCTTCCATCCACAGGCCAACGCTCTACCCACTGAGCCAAACCAGCTAGGGCTGATTGATTCTTATATGTGCTCTGACCAGGGATTGAAATCGCAACCTCAGCATATTGGGATGATGCTCTAACCAACTGAGCTACCCAGCCAGGGCTCTAGCTTTTTTTGATGAAGCTGTTAAACCTTGTGACTCCCCTAAGAAGGCCGGGAATGTAACACTTGTGTTAGAATGAAAGGGGCTGGGGAAAGGGTAGCAGAAGGGTTTTGGACGCGCAGGAAAGAAAGGAAGCTGCCCATGTAAGCAGCTGAGACAACGGACAAATAGCAGCACACAAGGCCCTGCAGGGAGGAGCGTCTGTTGCCAGCAGAGCTGCCTCTGTGGCCTCCTGCCAGGCTGGTATCGGGCTTCTCACCTGGAGCGAGTCTGAAAGTCCCTTTGGAGAGCAGGCTCTATCTGATTGGCCCCCCTTCCGTATTTCAGGGCTTATTCCCAGAAAGAGATTTCAAGGTCTGCCACGGAGGATTTTCAGACAGGTCTATCTTCGATCTGAAGCACGTGCCAGACACCAGGTATGGTCAGCTCGGTGACTCAGACCCTCCAGGATGGAGTGGCTGGGAATGTCAAGGGTATTCTGCCTCTTTATCACCGCGCCGCCCCTGACCCCTGAGCACCTGGATACATGTGAGCGCACGCACGCACACACAGAAATCTGGGATACAAAGAACCTTTTGTTTGGCGGCTTCGTGGTCCCTCTGCAGACCTTTCAATGACTATAACCCACAGATCTCCAGAGCTGCTCCAAATAGAGAGTAGAAAGATGCTCTCGGTTTCTCAGAGAGCTGATGGTGGGTGGCGGGCGAATGGCTCCATTGGCAGATGCTGGGAGTCCGGGTCGGCTGTGTGTTCAGGCTCCATGCTGGCGTCCTGTCTGGGACACTTCATGCCACATGGAAGCCTGGGCTCAGTCCCGTGACTCTCATGACCGTGGGCCTGTCCCTAAAGTGGAGTGAGCCTGCTCTGCCTCTGTTAACTGAGGGTAACGGGACAGTCGTTCCTGCAGTGAGCTTTCCTGAGGTGGGCGTGTCGGAATCCCAAGCTGAGTGGGCTGGAGAGCGGAAAGGCTGGGGGGATGTGGGTGAGCTCACTGAATTAAGAGCTCCTATCCCTCCTAAATAGGTTGCTGGTGACCAGTGGCCTTCCAGGTTGTTACCTGCAGGTGTGGCAGATCGCAGAGGACAGTGGTGAGTGAATTTGACATGGTGCGGGTTGACACCTCCATCCCCTAATCCAAGGCAATTAAGCAATAGACTCAGGCCTGGCCAGCGTGGCTCAGTGATTGAGCATCGACCTATGAGCCAGGAGTTCATGGTTCAATTCTTGATGAGGGCACATGCCCGGGTTGTGGGCTCAAATCCCCATAGGGGGCATGCAGGAGGCAGCCGATCATAAGCATAACCAATGGACATAAGACACTGGGGGATAGGGGAGGCTAGGGGACTGTCTAGGGCGGGGGGAAAAATGATAAAAATAAAATAAAATAAAAAAATAAAAAAATTAAAAAAAAAAAAGAAGTAGACTCCGAGCCAGGTGGGAATTAAAATTCAGTGTCGCCATAACCAGTTTGGCTCAGTGGATAGAGCGTCGGCCTGCAGACTGAAGGGTCCCAGGTTCGATTCCGGTCAAGGGCATGTACCTTGGTTGCGAGCACATCCCCAGTAGGGGGTATGCAGGAGGCAGCTGATCGATGTTTCTCTCTCATTGATGTTTCTAACTCTCTATCCCTCTCCCTTCCTCTCTGTAAAAAATCAATAAAATATATCTAAATAAATAAATAAAATAAAATTCAGTGTCTACTTTAATGCGGGTGTAGACAACTTAGCAACTACAGCATGGCACACAGCCCCAACTGGAGCTTCCTGTAACTTGGTCAGGAACCGAGGTTAGCAACCCAGTCACAGGCAGAGCATGGAGTGACCTTCCCCTCCCCAAGGCAGGTGCAGTGGCAGAGGCTAGGACAGAGCTGTGGCCACTCAGGTGAGCTCACCTCTTGGAGGAGGAGGAGGTGGCAGCAGGAGGTCACCTCTCTCTGCCCAGCCTGGTAGAGTGGGCAAGAAGCTGGGCTGACCCATCTCCCTCAGAGGAGTCACTCTACCCCCGCTCCTTCAGGGAGTGGAGGGCGGTTCTGTGCGTTCCAGTCAGGCAGGTGTCAGAGCCTGCAGCCCTGATGCAACCCTTCCCTCCCCCTTCAGTTAGAGCATCCTTGGCCAGCGTGCAAGTGTGCCTCAGACGCACAGGCTGTCGCTCTTGGAGCTGCCCCTTTGCCTGTGTGATTCTGTGCCTGCCAGCGGGTCCCCACGCTCACTTGGATGCTTCCCAGAAACTGGCCGCAGGTGTTGTACAGAGGCGGTGGTTGTGCTCCTTTGCTTTGAGGTCACTGACCCTATGCACCTTCCTTTACTGTTTCCTTTTTGTCATTTCTTGTTGCTTCCAGGTGTTTGTGTCACTTACTTATAGTTATGATTGCTGTTGTTTTTTGTTTTGTTTTGTTTAGATTTTTATTGATTTCAGAAAGGAAGGGAGAGGGAGAGAGAGAAACATCAATGATGAGAGAGAATCATTGATTGGTTGCCTCCTGCATGCCCCCTACTGGGGATCAAGCCCGAAACCCAGGCATGTGCCTTTGGCCAGAATCGAACCTGGGACCCTTTAGTCCGCGGGCCAACGCTCTATCCACTGAGCCAAAATGGCTAGGGCTACTGTTGTTGTTTTTTTAATAAATATTTTTTATTAATGTCAGAGAGAAAGGGAGAGGGAGAGATAGGTAGAAACATCAATGAAAGAAAATCGTTGGTCAGCTGCCTTTGCTGGGGATAGAGCCTGCAACCAGGCATTGACCCTGGACCAGAATTGAACCTGGGACCCTTCCATCTGCAGGCCGACTCTATCCACTGAGCCAAATTGGTTAGGGCCATATTTGTTTTCTTAATAGTGTCCTTTGAAACATAAAAGTGTTAGATTTTGATGAGGTCTAATTTATCACTGTTTTTTGTTAGGGACTATGCTTTTCATGTCATATCTAAGAAATCTTTATTTAACTCATAAATTTTCCCATGTTTTATTTTTCCCAAAAGGAAGTTCTGGTTTTTTTCTCTTCAATATTTAAATCTATGATCTCTTTCGAGTTAACTTTTGTGTATGGTGTGAGGTAAGGATCTCAGTTGATCTTTTTGCATGTGGATATCCCGTTGTTCCATCACCATTTGTCAAAATGCCTAACCTTTCTCCATTGATTTGCCTTAGTGCCTTCATTGAAAATCAATTGACCATAATCTAAGCATTTACTTCTGGACTGTCAGTTCTGTTCCATTGATCTTTATATCTGCTCTTATGCCAGTAACTTGTAGTTTGCCCAAAAGTAGACTGTGTGGGGCCCCAGTGGTTTAAAGATGAGAGAGACCGGAGTATTACCAACCATTAGGAGGCATCTTTTGTCCTGCCAGTGCCTGGGGTACCAGGTACCTTGTAGAACCTGTAGCCCAGGCCCAGGGAGCTGATGAGCCCAGGCTGCTCCGATACTCGTGTGGGATTAGGAAATCAGAGAAGAGTTATCTTCCCTAGATATTAGTGCAGAATATTCTGGAGCCTGGGGAAGGCTGGCCAGCTGTTTACCTGGAAACTTAAAAGCATAGTGTTATTTGGGTGAATTTTCCAGGATCCAGTCTTGACCCACAGCTTTGGTGTCTCAAACCTGATTTTGTCAGCACGTCTAAAATAATTCCAATCTGTTTGTAGGAGCAGAAGCACTCATCAGACTCACATGACTGCCATATAAACCAGAATGCAATTTTATTAGTTTACTAGAGGCCCGATGCATGAAATTTGTGCAAGAATAGGCCTTCCTGCCCTGACCAGTTTGGCTCAGTGGATAGAGCGTCGGCCTATGGACTGAAAGGTCCCAGGTTCTATTCCAGTCAAGGGCATGTACCTTGGTTGCGGGCACATCCCCAGTAGGAGGTGTGCAGGAGGCAGCTGATCGATGTTTCGCTCTCATTGATGTTTCTATCTCTCTATCCTTCTCCCTTCCTCTCTGTAAAAAAATCAACAAAATATATTTAAAAAAAAAAAATAGGCCTTCCTTCTCCCGGCTGCAGGTACTAGCTTCCCTCTGGCACCTGGGACTCGGGCTTCCTTCCAACCGCCAGCAGGCACCCGAGACCCAGGCTTCTCTCTGGCTGCCGACAGGCACCTGGGACCCGGGCTTCGCTTATAACCCCGGCTTCCTCCCGAAGGACGTTGGTCTAATTAGCATATTATGCTTTTATTATTATAGATAATGAAAAAATAAGTATCCCTTAAATATGGAATATTTCAGGCCCTTCTTCTTGCTTGTGGAAGACCTAACCCGGTCAGAGGTGTCATGATAAAGGTGACCGTCACCAGAGGAATCAGCTCAGAGGTTTCCCGAGTGTGTGTTCGTGGCTCTCAGGCAGAAAGTATGAAACTTGTGAAGGCAGCTGCCCAGGCTCCTGCTGTCCATGCCCCTGGACAGTGCCTGGGGCCCCCTCTCAGCTCTGGGGCTGTGGGAAGCACTGAGCTGCATAAATAAATATCCAAAGGTCTCAGCTGAATGTCACCTGCTGCTTCCCCTTTGAAGTTAAGTGTTCAGTCTGGTGTGGCGCCCTCTGCCCCGGACAGGCCTCAGCATTTTCTTTGACCCCTTGGCTGGGCAGCCCTTCCCGTGGATCCCACTTCAGAGCTGTATATGCATGTGCTCAGCCATGCGGTCTGGGCACCAGTCTGACTCCTGAAGGATGTGTCTGCCTCTGCTCTGACCTGCTCTGTGTTGGTTTAATCTTCAGACACAACTGTCTTTCGTCGCCAAGTTCTTGGAGATGCCTGCCTGTGTCTTTTGCTTTGATTTGTAGCGGTTTCTCTTTGCAGTTCGGGGCTGGTTTGGTCCGTGTGGTGTGGATTCCCTAGAGGAGGGCATTTTACTAGAGAGAGGGGAGGAGGAAGCCTGCATATTCACTGTGATTGTGGAGCAGCTCTCTCGTCAGGAGGCTCCAAAGCCTTTGTTTTCCACTGCCTCTTTGAAATACTCCTCTCAGCCTCCTCCTTTCCCGCCCCCCGTCAGGAGACAAATCACTTGTGAGAGCCATCCCCTAGCGCAGAGCAGCAGGTCCTGGGGGCCTGGTACAGGCTCCTCGGGGTCTGTGGAGATGGAAGAGGGAGCTGCTCCGGGTGGCCTGGGAGAGGTGGGAGGCTCTGCTGGGGCCGGTTTGGATCACAGCCTCACTGGCTCTGCCCCGACACAGATTTGGTCCTAAGGCTCTGGTGTTGTCTGCGTGAACCTCTGCCGCTCCTGTACCGGGAGCAGGTGAGGTGAGCAGGTCTGGATTCGGGGCTCAGAGCCCTGGGCTTGGGGAGCAGTAGGCACTCAGGTCCTTGCATTCTCGTCAGCCCACCCCGGTCCTTCTGTGCGCTCCTGGCCTGTGAACTGTCCGGAGGGGCCTTGCTCACGTGCTTGCTGCTGCATAAGTCATGTTAGTTCGTGGTCCTCATCCATTCTGTTCACAGGCTGACTTTTACCTCCTTCAGAATTTAAACAATACATACGTCTCCCTTTTCTTCAGGGATTGTGGGAACCAAATAACGAGTCCCCTCTTGGAGCAGGAAAGCAATTGGTGCAGTAGACAGCTCGTTCTGAACCACGTCATAAATGGCTCCTGTTAAGAGAAGCCTCAGTTGTAGATGCAGAGACGAGAGCCTTCCTGTCCACTAAGCAGGCTGAGACAAACAGAACTAAAACTTGATTCAACTTGAGGTCAGGTGTCTTTCTTGTTCAGTGTCAAAAGGACATGGGCTGTCTTTGTCCAGTTTGTGTTTGAAGACAATGACATTTGCCTTGTGACCTTTACCTGCAAGGTTTCGGCAAAGTGCCGAGGTTGTAGAATAAGTTTTTGAAGAAATAATGGTATTTCATGAATTCTGTTCCTGTTATTTTCTTCACTTAAAGTGTAAATGACACCATCAGTGGATTCTTTCCTTCTATTTGTACTCCACAAAAGTATTAAAAGCCAGAACTGCTTTGGGGGCTTTTGAGATGGCGTCTGAGATTCATTATCTCCCATTTGCAAAACAGTTCATAAGACAATTTTTAAAGAAATTAAAGTGTGCCCTAGCCGGTTTGGCTCAGTGAATAGAGCGTTGGCCTGTGGACTGAAGGGTCCCAGGTTCGATTCCGGTCAAGGGCACGTACCTTGGTTGCCGGCACATCCCGTCAGGCCCAGCCAGTGTGGCTCAGTGGTTGAGTGTCCACCTGTGAGCAGGAGGTCAGGACTCGATTCCTCTCAAGGGCACATGTCCGGGTTGCAGACTCGATCCCCAGTGTGGGGCATGCAGGAGGCAGCCGATCAATGATTCTCTCTTATTGATGTTTCTATCTCTCTCTCCTTCTCCCTTCCTCTCTGAAATCAATAAAAATATATTTTAAAAAAGAAATGAAAGTGCTTCTGACAGTTTCAAAATGTAAATATAACACAGAGTGTTTATGATGCCACATCCTCTCTAGCCAGCTGTCAGTTCCCTTTCTTCCTTGACCTTCTAGCTGTACAGGGGAAGACCTTTGACCGGCGTGCACCAGGTTATGTTTCAAACCTTCACTAACATTCTGGACTTTCCCCTCTTCCACTTGCCCCTAGATGTCATTGAAGCTGTCCGCACCATTGCTGTGCATGAGAAAGAGGGGAGTCTCTGGCCGAGGATCGCCATCTTCTCGTCAGTAGCACCTGGAGTCCTCCACGGGGCGCGGCTCAGCGGCCTGGAGGTTGTAGATCTGGAATCCCAGAAGGTCACGTACACCTCAGGTACGGACAGCGCAGTTTGCCCCTACGCTGCCGCGTTAGAACTGAATCCAACCCTGTGTGCCAGATATTGGGGACACAAGATGAATGAGAGGCAAGCCCCGGCCTCTAGGGGCTCCCTTTCTGGGATTGGAGGAGGCATCCCTGGGACCAGCCCCCACCAATGGATAGAATGGCAAAATGAACAGGAGAGCTCCAGCCAGTTTGGCTCAGTGGATAGAGCGTCGGCCAGCGATCTGGAGGGTCCTGGGTTCAGTTACAGTCGGGGGCACATGCCTGGGTTGCGGGCTCAATCCCCAGTAGGGGACATGCAGGAGGCAGCCAATTAATGATTCTCATCATTGATGTTTCTCTCTCCTTCTCCCTTCCTCTCTGAAATCAGTAAAAATATATTTTTAAAAAAATGAACAGGAGAGGGGAGACGTGGTTTATTCTGCTGGTATTGAGGATGCTTCCCAGAGGAAGGGACTTGTGACCAGCCAGCCCTGCCAGATTGCCAGACCCACGTGACTCCAGCAGCTTTTCTCTTTCGCCCTCTGTCTCCCAGGTGTCAGCGACCGTGAGGAGCTGAGTAGCCTGCAGGTCCTGGATGCAGACACCTTTGCCTTCTGCTGCACCTCGGGCCGGCTGGGGCTCGTTGACACCCGCCAGAAGTGGGCGCCGGCAGAGAATGCCAGCCCCAGCCCCGGGGCTGGTGGAGGGAGGTGGTGTGCAGAAGTCAGGGGCCAGGGCCCTGGGCCCAGCATTGCCAGCCTGTGCTCAGATGGGCTGCTCTGTCTTCGTGACCCTCGGGACCTCCGCCGTCCTGTGCGCTCAGTGCGGTGCCCAGTGTCCACACCCAGCCCTGACCCAGAGCTGCTGCGAGTGACCTGGGCTCCAGGCCTGGACAGCTGCTTGGCCATCTCAGGTACCGCTGAGCAGGCTTCTGCATCTGTTGTTTGAGCTTTCTGTTCTAAGGGACTATCGAGTGCTCAGGAAGGAGCCTCTGGCCCCCAAAGTTAAAGTCTCTCCCCGAAAATCTCCAGATTAACTCTCCAGGTTCCTCAGGGGCAGGCTCTTCCCCAACTAACTACTCAACTTCCATACAGTGGGAGCAGGCCTTTCCCATCCTAGCAGGAATTCAGTTCTGAGGTTGGTCAAGAGCCTGCAGTTAGTAAGACACTGGGCCAGCCATGGGGCTCGACCAGAAAGAGGCCATAGAATTCCAAGGGTGCCTCTTAGTCTGTTTGCTTTTTGAATTATAGCAAGCCCGACCAGAAAGAGGCCATAGAATTCCAAGGGTGCTTCTCAGTCTAATTGCTTTTTGAATTATAGCAAGCCCCTTGGTCAGGAGGCTCCTGGCCCATTCCGGTGCTGTGTCACATATAGAAATTTTTTGATATTTGCAACTATAGTAAAACAAAGACTTATATTTTTGATATTTAGTTTATATATTTAAATGCCATTTAACAAAGAAAAATCAACCAAAAAAATGAGTTCGCGTGTCACCTCTGACACGCATGTCATAGGTTCGCCATCACTGCCCTAGGTCAACAGGCTCCTGGCCTGGCAGTATCTAGTTGAAAGAAGATATTTAGTGAGAGTATCTAAAGGCCAATGGGAAGGCCCTAGCCAGTTTGGCCCAGTGGATAGAGCATCAGCCTGTGGACTGAAGGGTTTCGGGCTTGATTCCCGGTTTCAGGCTCGGTCCCTGGGCATGTATGAAGGCAACCAATCGATGTGTCTCTCTTACGTCGATGTTTCTCTCTCGGTCTCTCTCCCTTCTACTCTCTCTAAAATAAATAAATAAATAAATAATTGTGAGACTAATAGGCACTTAGAAAGACAGAAATGCTTTATGAACCAACATAAAGCTGGATTAAAAAATAATTAATACAGATTCATCCAAATGACCCATCAAAGGGTCATTCCAGAGATTACCAGTCAGCCCTAATTTTAGGCATTAAACATCACTGGCTTTTAACAAGAAGACAGCAGATGGAGCTAGGTCGTGGGGGGAACATGAGAATGGGCCTCTAGCGCAGGGGTTCTCAACCTGTGGGTCACGACCCCTTTGGGGGTCGAACGACCCTTTCACAGGGATCGCCTAAGACCATCTGAAAACACATATATAATTACATATTGTTTTTGTGATTAATCACTATGCCTTAATTGTGTTCAATTTGTAACAATGAAAATACATCCTGCATATCAGATATTTACATTATGATTCATAACAGTAGCGAAATTACAGTTAAGTAGCAACGAAAATAATGTTATGGTTAGGGGTCACCACAACATGAGGAACTGTATTAAAGGGTCGCGGCATTAGGAAGGTTGAGAACCACTGCTCTAGCGGCTTCGATTTTCTCCATCAGTGTGGAGATGAGGCCATCTATTGAGACCCAGATGGATTAGAATTTGGGGCAAGTGGAAAGGTTTAAAAAAGTCTTAAGCCTCAGTTTCCTGGGGTAAGTATTAGTACCTACTTCATACAGTTGTGAGAATAAAAAGAGGGAATGTAGATCCAGGATTAACCTCAGACCTGCCACATGATATACTACAGATTCTCAGCGTCACGTGCCCCATGGAGTTGGCAGCTGCCGGCATGTGGTCAGATGTTCCACGCCCTTGATTGGCCATTAAGTATCTAGTTTACTATTAGGTTCCTCGTCCTATAGTTTTGGTGCCATAGAGCAAGTTATAAAAATTATTTTAGAGATTCATTGTTGCTCTTCTCATTTCTCGTTCCTCAGGTTTTGATGGGACAGTCCAGGTCTATGATGTCACGTCTCGGGATGGAATGGAGGGCCACGTAGAACCTCTCTTCACTCACAGAGGTCACGTCTTCCTAGATGACCATGGGACAGGCGCTGCTCCGCTGGTCACCACCCACACCTGGCACCCCCACAAGTCAAGGACTTTGTTGTCGGCAGCAAGTGACACCTCTGTGCACGTGTGGGACTGGGTGGACCTCCGTGCCTCCCGCTGACACCAGCGTCTTCCTGCCAGGCCCCTGGAAGAGGAGCTGCTGTACGCACAACAAGGGCACTGATTTAGGACTCAAGTGACCACAGTCCCTGTTACCAGCGGAGTGGCCTTGGGCCAGTGATGCAGCCTTTCTTAGCCTCAGTGTCTTTTTTGGTAAAATGAGAAGAGTAGTAACTACCTCGCAGGGTTGTTGGGGAAGTTAGAAGAAATATATGGGGAAATACCAGGTAGGATGCAGGATAGAGATTTGGTGGCTACTCTTAGATCAGAGCAGTTGTGGGCGACAGGATCCTGCTGCTTCCAGCAGGTGTCAATCCCACGGGTTTTGGCACGAGAGACGCCTTCCTGACCTAATGGACGGTGGGAGGCCTTCTCAAGAGCAGTGCTGCCGAAACCGGTTTGGCTCAGTGGATAGAGCGTCGGCCTGTGGACTGAAAGGTCCCAGGTTCGATTCCGGTCAAGGGCATGTACCTGGGTTGAAAAGAGCAGTGCTGACCGTGCGCAGCCATTCCCGGTGTCCTGACTTTACAGCCCCACCCCCATGTAAGCTCTGGGTCCCGGCACTTTGTACAGTTGGGAGGCTAATATAACATAGTGATTAAGACACTTGTGTTGGAGTCAGATCAGAGTGTGCATGTGTGGAAGGCTTCAGAGACACAGGTCTGGGGCCCAGGCCCACTGCAACCTGCCCACCAGCTCTCTTGGGGCTGCTCCTGTCAACCCCGAATCAAAACTCAGAGATCCATCCAACAATACAGCTACTTTGCAATAGGACCCAAAGGTTCAATCATGTCAGTAAAGACCAGTGAAGCCCCGTGATTCAGGCTGGCTGCTGCTGGTTGACAGCTCCTCCTTGATCAGCGTGGTGCCCAGCATTTTAAGAAGTTTTCATTTAGCCCTAGCCTGTTTGGCTCAATGGATAGAGCATCGGCCTACAGACTGAAGGGTCCCAGGTTTGATTCTGGCCAAGGGCACATGCCTGGGTTGTGGGCTCGATCTCCACTCATCTAACAGGGACAGCTCAGAGCAATCAAGGCTTTGCATTCTCTGAAGAGTCCGTGTGAACTTGGGAGGAAAAGTGTAGTTCCAGGGAATAAGCAAATTCCACTTTGACACAAACAGCGAAGTACTGCACATCCCCCTCACTGCTGGCAACCCGGGTGGCTCTGTCTCTCACATTCCTCTATTTTTGACTAGTCAGAACTAGGTTCCATTTCTCACCTGCAGCCCCCATCTTCCGGGTTTTGCAAGTCCTCCAGCCACTGCCTCCTCTCCACTTTCTGGGTGTTTTGTCTCACCCGGATCTGAGTCCCCTGGGGCAGGACAGTCAGGTACTCTTCCAGGACTAGCAACTCCAGATCTGCTCTTTCGTACACTTCTCTGGTCTCAGCCCCTGGCGACAGAGCTCCCGGAGATGGATGAGAGTATCCTGGGGTGCTGACGCTTCTTGAGAGTAGAAATGCCAAAAGCATTGGTCTGGGGCCACTCCCTTGAAGGGAAATTTCCAGTGAAAATCTTCCAGCTTCACTATTCAAAGCTCTCCTTGTACTTGAGGAGCCCGGATTTGTCGGTCCCCAGCTACAGCCATTGCTCAGCTCCAAGAAGAACCTTATGACTGTGCTCTGAAGTCGAAACCTCTTCCTTTACCTCGTTGGGAAGCCACCGTCAGAGGGGAGCCACTCAGTAGAACTAGAACCAGAGACAGACATTACAGAGTGAACCCTAGTGAAAGCCGCCAGTGTCAGCCATCCCAGCAGGACTGAGGTGAAGAAAGAGCCTTCCTGTTCTTCCCTCCCCGTGTCTTGGTGCCCATGGAGTCTGGCCCTCTGTCACGGGGGAGGCAGCTCCAGAAGTGTGATAGGAGGGGGCAAAGGCAGGTGATCTGGTTGGAAAGTAAAGGCGTATGGAGCTGTGTTTGCATAGCATTTTGAGAAAATGCCAGTTATCCATGCTGAAGAATGAGGATGGGCTGCAGAGATAATAGGGACAATAAACTCACCCTCCCCAGCCACTGGTCCCCAGTGTTGCAAAGTGAATGTGCAGGGCCAGCACAGAGGGCGCCCAACGTAGCAGCACCTTGGAGAGCAGCACCGGACCGGGTGGAGGCGGCTGGCCCTTCAGATTCAAACGCTCCAACTGCTCAGCTGCCTCGCATCTGGCTGAGTTCTCAGTTTTGTGCGACCGGTTCAGGATTCCTCAGTCCTGGCACCATAACTCTCCCAAACAGGAAGGCTTACCGTGGTTAAGGTTACAGGCTTTAAGAGCAAAGATGATAAAAACAGGTTCACAGGGTGTTAAGAGTTGGAAGGAAAGTTAAGATATTCCGGCTTCGACTCAAAGCTGAGGCAGTCGGGGCTTAAACTCGCCCCAGGTCTCACAGCTGGTTTATGGCAAGAACTGGGACAGTGGCTCTGCTCTTGGATCGTGGGCTGGGCGACAGGCCTGCAGAGCCTGACTTACGCCGCTCCAAGGGCCACCCTGGCTGGGGGCGAGGTCGTCCCCGCCGGGCCGGAGGGCGGT